GGGTTTTTGCTTTTTTGCCTTTTTTTTTTTGTTGTTGTTGCCGTTTTTGGATGGGGCCGGGTTTGAACCTACCACCTCCGGTATATGGGGCTGGTGCCCTAGTCCTTGAGCCATGAACCACCTCCTTTTTTTTTTTTTTTTTTTTTCTGAGATAAGTACTCACCTTGTCATCCAGCTAAAGTGCAGTGGTGTGATCACAGCTCACTGAAACCTTAATCTCCTGAACTCAAGCAATCTTCCCACTCCAGCTTGCCAAAGTACTGGGATTACAGGTATGAGCCATTGTGCCTGGCTCGTTTTGTCTATTTTACTGGTGCTTTCAAAGAATTGTTTTTTAATTTATCCTTTCTTTCCCTACCTTGTTGAGTTTAGCTTTTATCTTTATTGGTCCACTTTCTATTTTCTTATGGTTTAAACATGTTTCTTCCCTAAATTTCTAAGGCATCGAACACCTCCGGTTTTTCTTTTTGAACAATAAAGATGGTACATTTTCATTTTCAAGTCTAGCCTCACATATTCTAGGATCCTTAATAAGGTATTTGGGTCTCACCTTGTTCCATTTGCTCAGAGCTCTAGTCCTGGTGGGTCTCACTGCTTGGCCACATGAACATGACAGATAAAGGTATGCTCAGGAAACAAATGGTACTGTTCTGTCTTAGAGCCCACTGTGCAACTCTGTGCTTGCTGCAGGTCCTACCCACCCATCCAAATATTCCTGGACTATCTATTATGTACTAGCATTGTGCCAGATTCCATGAATAGCATATTGAGCTGAACAGCTGGGTATTTCCCCTCTTGGAGCTTATAGTCTTAAGACACAAAACAAGTAGGGTTAGTGAGCTGAGCATTGCCTAGAATGCTACGAAAGTGTAAGATAATGGATCCAACGCCATATTGGAGGTCTAGCAAAGAATTAAGTGATGCTTTATTAAGTTCCTCAGAATCTGAGGGTCTATACCCTGTCCTTTACCCTACTCTCAGGAAGGCGTCTTTTGGGTTTTCTTAAATAGAAAGTTTCTGGTTTTAAATTATATGCCTGTTGTTCCTGGCCAGTTAGGTGAACCAAGGGACTGAAAGCCAGGCATAAGATTTTATCCAGCAGAAATACTGTGGAGAGGATGATCATTGACTGACTGACTAGAGCTTCTACGAAAAGTCCAGACACCAATAAGAGAGAAAGGAGAAGAAACAGAGATAGGAGGGGAAAAATAATAGTAAAGTCAGGCCAGGTGTGGTGGATTAACCTGTAATCCTAGCACTTTGGGAGGCCAAGACGTATAGATTACTTGAAGTGAGGCCAGGAGTTTAAGACGAGCTTGAGCAAGAGCAAGATCCCATCTCTACGTAAAATAGAAAAATTTGCCAGGCATGGTGGCAAGACATCTGTAGTCTCAGCTACTCAGGTGGCTGAGCCAAGACGACTGCTCAAGCCCAGAGTTCGACACAGGATGATGGTATTGCACTCAAGCCTGGGAGACACAGCAAGACAATGTCTCAAAAAAAAAAAAAAAGTAAAGCTGTAAGAATTGCAAACCCTATAGTATTGAACTATTAAACTAGAACCGTAGGCATCAATAGGAACTCATGATTATTAATAATATACAGAAACAGATATATTTAGATGAATATATATATTCACATATATGCATACACACACACACACACACATATATTCTTTTTTTTTTGCAGTTTTTGGCCGGGGCTGGGTTTGAACCTGCCACCTCTGGTATATGGAGCTAGTACCCTGCTCCTTTGAGCCACAGATGCTGTCCTCATTTTTTTTGTTTTTTGGAGACAGAGCCTCAAGCTGTCACCCTGGGTAGAGTGCCGTGGCATCACAGCTCACAGCAACCTCCTGTTCTTGGGCTCAAGCGATTCTCCTGCCTTTACCTCCCAAGTAACTGGGACTACAGGAGCCTGCCATAATGCCCAGCTTTTTTTTTTTTTTGATTGCAACCATCATTGTTGTTTGATGGGCTCGGGCTAGATTTGAACCCACCTGCTCAGGTGTATGTGGCTGGTGTCTTAGCCACTTGAGCCACAGGCACTGAGCCTATATTCTTTTTTTTTGCTTTGTCTGCTGAGAAGGCCTAGAAGCAATGACACTCCAGTTGCAATGAGTACAAGTGCCCAAATCTTGGTTTCTATGTACCAGGAAATCATTTGATTTCTAAGTTCCTTTTCTTTGGAATTCAAGGAACAGAAAGCTTCTTGAAGAAATGGCTTATGTCAGGACTGGGACAAGAAAAATGTGAGTAAGCCTGGAACATCTGTGGTTCTAGAAAGGAAGTGCTTAAAAAAGTGATGAGGGGGCTTGGCACTCATAGCTCAGTAGTTAGGGTGCCACCCATATACACCGAACCTGGCCTGGGCCTGCTAAACAATGACAACTGGAACGGTTGTCAAAAAAATAGGCAGGAGTTGGGGTGGGTACCTGTTGTCCCAGCTACATGGGAGGCTGAGGCAAGAGAATTGTTTAAGCCCAAGAGTCTGAGGTTGCTGTGATTTGCGACACCATGTACTCTACTGAGGGTGATATAGTGAGACTCTGTCTCAAAATTTAAAAACAAGAAAAAAAAAGTGATGAGGGCAGTGCTGAAACAAAACAGGAGCAAACCTGAAAGAGTTCCCAAAAGGCAAATGTGGGCCAATCTGAGCAACAAAATAAACTATGTTAGTATTAGATTATAACCCATAGAATAAAACAAATATCCATTAGTTTACAATTATTAAATAAATGAGGGAAAATGGACTTTTCCTTACAGTAGAATAACAATGAATAAATACAGATAGAATAAGGAAACAAAGTCTTATTAGGTGAATATAACATTAATATTCTTATAAGCAAGAACCACTGATGATGGAAACTAAAATCAGTAGGCGAAATTCTAAGGATAAATAAGACATTTACAGAGATTCAAAGTATTTTTCCAGATAATTATTAACTTCAAAAGTCAAATTTTACAATTTACAGTGGAAACCTGGCACACACCATCATAGCCATGTGATCAAAGTTAATCCCACCCTCTGCTAGGAGGCACGAAGAAGGGAATGATTATCACCTCTGTGGTCATCCTGCCAAAAATGCAGACTGTCAACCTATCATGTAAAAATATCAGACAAAACCAAAATAACTGGCCTAGACTTTTCAGTAGTGTCAAAATTCAAACAAAGATGGAGAAATTGCCATAGGGTGACATAAAATGAAATACAATGTAGGATCCTGGACTGGATCTGGGACCAGAAAAAGGGGAAAACTGGCTGAACTCTAATGTCTATAGCTTAGTTACTATATCAATGTCAATTTCCTGATTTTGGTAACCACAGTATGGTTTTATAAGATGTTAATATTAACTGCTGGGTGAAGGGTATACAGGAACTCTATTTTTGCAACTTTTTATAAGTTTAAAATTATTTTAAAACAAAAAGTATAAAATAACAACAACAAAAAAGAGCAATCACTGAGGTAGGGAACAGCAGACACGGCTCCTGAGAGGCTAGACAGTGACTGCCGGAGCATCTGCTGAAGCCCTCGTCCTAGATTCTGACTACCTTATACCCATCACATTATCTGACATTCTTCCATCCCCAAAGGACACTGATTCCTGCTCCCATCCTTTGCTTCCTGAAAGGGACTAGCTAATACCCAGGAGGGTTCCATAAAGGCCCTATAAGAGGCAAGGTGAATGGAGTGGTTATTGGTGGTGGCTATTGCAGAAGGTGCCCAAGGCTGTACCAGGCCTTGCTCTGCCCTGCTAAGCTTGGGCTGAGACAGGCTATCCAGTTGAATGCCCTTAGGGGATGGTGTCCAGTCCCTCTGCAGACTATGTAAAGTGCATGTTTATTCCGGGCTTATTTAATTTGTATAGTAGTATGGACAAGGCTGAGGCAGACTACCTGACCATGGGGGCAGGCCCAATCCTATGATCTCTCCCCTACAGCTTCCCAGTATCTAAGGCTGAGGCAGACTACATGGCCATGGAGGCAGGCCCAATCTTATGATCTCTCCCCTACAGCTTCCCAGTATCTAAGGCTGAGGCAGACTACATGGCCAGGGGGGCAGGCCCAATCCTATGATCTCTCCCCTACAGTTTCCCAGTATCTAAGGCTGAGGCAGACTACATGGCCATGGGAGCAGGCCCAATCCTATGATC